CCTTCAATATCTGATCCGGTTCTTCATACTTCACCCCCCTCCCCTGTGATGTCTGATTTCTTGGCCTGTCTGCAGCAAAAATCCCATTAGGTTTAGCCAGAATCCCCCTTACCCCTGATGTTTCCTCTTAGTAATTTTCCATCTACGGTCCTTCATCCTGCTACTTACCTATAAATTCCCACTTTTCTTTATTGTATTTAGAATTGAACCCAGTTCAATACTGAGGTCTCTTTTCCCCTATGGCAATGGTCCTGAGTACAATCTGTTTTTACTGCTTTAAAGGCTATCCAGCTCTGGTTTTCTTTGACAATAGGTTACAGAAGGCAGAGTAGAAAGGTAAAGCTAGAGGGCAAGCCTAGGGCCAGAGCCTGAAAGAGTGCTGTGTTAGAGTGTAGACTTTATTCCATAGGCATTGAGGGGCTATGGAAGATATTTAGGCAGAGAAGTAAAATAATCAGCTTTTAACTTTAGAAAAATGACTCTGGCAATAATGTGGAGGACGGACTGGAAAGGAGAAGGCACAGCAGTGAGTGCATACACAATCATAATTTTTAAATATTATGATTTTTAGTCTTACTCAAAGGGATTATTCTTAGACTGACTTTTCCTAAGCCACCCTAACGATATCTGAAGTTGTGTTTTTTTAAACCATGAGAACATTTCTCCAGGATGTGGAAAATAGAAGAAAATGTGTCGGCACGTCTTACACTCCTTGGCTATTTTTCCTCTGGTCCTAGTATCTCATCCCAGTGACTCTTGGGATTCCAAGAATCTTCAGGATCTAGAGTATTTCTGATGGTGTCCATCAGGAGAAAGGAGTTGTTTATTACAGCATTGGCTGGTGGCGCAGTTTATGGTAAACACTTGCTGATCAGTGAGGTCCTGCAACCAGTTGTGAAATTGGGGTGTGACTGTTAGCACAAATTCCTCATTTATTGGCATCCCCTACTGAGAGCCCCAAATTGTGACTATTGATTGCCTGAATTCAGGTGGGTTCAGGTTTCCCTAGTGTTACCACCTATAAATGGATTTATTTAACTTGGGATTTTTCAAGTAGAAATTAGGAAGAACCAAAACACTTTGAATGAACTACACACACATTTATTAAATAGTTAAATAGTTAACAAAGGCACATCAATAACCACTTACAATATATATAAATATATATAATTAACACAGATACAATTCTCTCTTAACTGCCAATTTTTTCCAACAAAGAATTATTCAGTTGTTCAAGCCATGAAGGCTAAAGGCAAAGTTTCAGTTCCGATCTTACTCTTTCCCACCCTCTTCTTGAGAACTATACTGAACCTCGATGGGTTGATCATCATCTTCTGGAGCCATAAGGTCTCTAGAAGCATGCTGAATGCAGTACTCCTCAGATACTTTATGCATTCCCTCAAGTCCAGTTTTTAAAGAACAGGCTGTCTGCTTTAGTAGGTGCCATTGCTGCTATTCATCCACTCTTATTCTATGATTTTTTTATCAACCTTTATTTGTACCTGTCCATGCATGTGGCAGCCCCCTCTCTCTCATCAGGAAAACTTATGATTTGTGTGTGTGTGTCTGTTGCACTTTCCACCAAGTGCCCTGCCTGCCTATGCATTGTGCTGTTTTCATGCACAACACAAAAATGCTGGGCTACACTGACCAGAACTTCCTTCTTACACTGATTTCTGCATACACTTTAGAAGGCTGTGCTTCTGCATTGGGCATCTGTTTGTATGGATGGGAATCGACAGTCACTACCTTTCACAAACCTCACTCTATATCCTGATGGCTGCCCTTTCTATCCAAAGTATTCTGCTTGGAGTTCTTGCTTTTTATTCCCCAGATACCCACTGTCCTCCTGCCTTAGGGAGAAGTGTAAGTTAGGCACTGAAAGGAAAATCTTGGAGGGTTCAATTAAATGGGCATTTCTAATCCAGGAAAGATCCAAGTAAAACATCAGTGTGTGTGTCCATCTGTTGAATCTTAGCAAGTACAGGCACAGGATTACCCCAGAAATGTAACCACGGATCAGGCCTGTCACTATGTCATGGTCTCTGCAGATGCTGACCATGTGAATGGATTCTGGTCCATACAATTTTTGAATGTTCACTATTTAGCTAGTATTTTAGGTTAATGATTCTATCAGAACTTTCCTGACAAGAACAAAATTACAAGAGTCTTCATTTTTTGACCTTTTTGAGGTGGTGAATGACTACACCACTCAACCATAGGAATTCCATCATTGTGCCTAACTATTGAGATTCAATTCCTGGAAGCTTGCTTTAGTAAAACTCATTTCTCTTATGTATGCATGTGGCTGTCTGATATTTGACCGTTGGAGAGTCAAACCTTTTAAAATACAAACACTCCCTGGAGGGGCAGCACATTAAGCACTGCCACTCTTGAACACTGTAGTGTGATTTGTCTCTCCCATCTCAACAGTGAGTTGCTCTCAATAGCCAGAGATGACCAACGGGAAAGTTCTGAAGGGGAAAAATCCAGATCTACCTGAGGAAGCAGGCCTGATAAGTTGCTATCACAGGGCTTCTACAGGGCACCGGCCACCATGAGGGATGAGAAAAGGGGGGGGCCTTAGAAAGATGCTGTAGAAAGAAATTGAAAAGTACCCAAGACAAACTTGGTTTATATCTGGTGTTGCCTATGGTTTAGCTTTCTTCCAGCCAGCAGAAACTCTAAGTCTCATTTTGATGATGGTCAGGAATGCCTGCCCTGAACTTGTACCTTTCAGCAGCTTCAAGGAGAAAGACATCAATTGAATTCTGAAGAGGCCAAAGACCTCTTATAAATGTCTGTATACTGAACTGGTTTTAGTGCTGGTATCATCAGACTCACATAAACATGTGCAACGCATCAAAAGGCTCAAAGTTGGCTTAACAAGAAAAGCCATGGTGGGAACCACCTTGGAAATAGTAAAACAGGGCACAAGGGGTAAGTTTGGCTGTATCAGACAGCTGACACTGAATAAGGACCAGCCTCTTCCCTGGCCCCCTTAACGTTAGAGACATGTCAGTAATACTTTATTCTGCCACAGCCTCTGATCCAAACTTTCTTCACCTCAGTTTTCTATCAGCCCAACTCCAGAATGGTGGTTAATGCAGAGAAGTTCCAGATTAATATTTTTGAAGGATTTTGAAATCTGACAGAATAAAGTATTACCAAGTTACATTTGCTTTCTTGAATAAAAATGGTTATCCTTTTTATTTCTGTGCCATTTGTTGAAAATAACCAATTTTTAAGAAAAAGAAAACATTTTAATGGAAAAATTCATGCATCTCATTGTTAGGAAACCATTAATGCCCATCTTGAAAAGGGTGAAATGAACACTGGTTTTCATATGTTACACTGAGGATGCAGGATAGAAACAAATAACTGGGAAATATAAACTTCTAATAATGTATCTTAGAATATGCCTTAGGGTTTCTGAAGCACAGTAGAAACCAGTAAGCATTATTTAAAAATTCTTAGTTTTCTTTTACAAAAATACAAGTGTCTTTCTTATGTTAGTAACTTCAATGTTATAGGAGTAATACATCTAACACAATGGATGTATTATCTACAAAATTCAAAATACTGAAGGTATATTTGGAAATAAATTTACTCTATGTATGAAATATATTAAGCCAAATCACAAATTTAAATTTTATATTAGAATTACTAAATGTTAGGATTAATATACTAGAACATGAATAGCTTTTAAGTGAACTCCTAATGTGTGAATTTGGATTCATAAAAAAAGACATAACCAAGAAATTTAATGCATTTTATTAAAAGAACAAAAAATAAACATGGATATAGCATGCTAAAATGAGTTGCATAATGCATACTTTTAAATACAAACAAGCACTACAGCACTATAACTTGAAAAAAACAAAAAAAAATTCAAACCTTTTGCGTTTGGGGGATTGGGTTTTTGATTTTTGGGGGGCCATTTTTTTGGGAAGAGTTTATATTCATGAAATATTCTGGTCATTATTTAAAGCTATAATTGCTACACAAGGATGATAATTTTCTTAACTATAAAGTAATTTAAATTGCCATGTTTCCACCCAAAATATGTGCTTCTATATTTCACATTATTCCAAATTGTTGTTATATGAATGCATAAAATTAGCCCTTAAAAAAGAGTATATTTAGGAGAATCTTTTTCTCAAAAAAATTTTAATTTAAATGATTATAATTTGGGAGCATGGGAACAATGGCTCATCTTGTAATTAAACAGAAATAATAATAATAAACTAAAACAGAAAACTTATTTTGAAACAGGCATTCCCAGAATCCAATGATATGATGGTCATATCATTCTCTCAACTGCTAGACAGAAAAGACATAGCAACAAAATAATTTGTTTCCATCACTAACAAATAGCATCTATATACAGAAATAAAGCTTTGGAACCATGCCATGACAGATAAATCTTTAGAATGTATGTTTGGGAGGAAAAAAGGACTGCTTAATGGTTAGGTTACTTTTAGGTCTTATTACAGAGGTATTTTTAAAAAAGTAATATGATGTAGAAAATGACTAGCGAGGATTTTTATAATATCTGCAAAGAGCTGTGACTTATTTAATAGTGATGCATAATTTTTCTTTTAGGTATACCATAATCGAGGATGGGTTCTATTTAAAGACAAAATTTCTCTGGAATAATCTAGTTTTTGAGTATTAATGAGTGATTCTCTTATAGATAAGAACAAGTGGAGGGGCTAAAAACTATATGAATCAGTCACAAACTAAACCCTTTCTTGGGCTTAATAATAGAGGTTATTTTTTGGCCTCAGCTATACACATCTGTTAAACTTCATTCCCTAATTTGTTTTACTCATTTAAACACAGCCACTGTGTTTAAGCTCCAAAGAGTGTGATCCAGTGACTGTCAGCATGCACACCAGGCCATGAATTCATTGAATTCTTTTGTGATGTAGCTAGGGTCATTCCCACTATTTTACAGACGATTTTTTCCTGACTTAAAATTTCTTATCTCTGTTGACTTTATGAAAATATATTCCTGGTGACTTATAGATTCACAAGGAAATGTCAAAACAAGAACATGGGTTAAATTGGGAAATTACATTGGTGGTAAGGCTGAAGTTGGAGTTCCTAACTACAGAATGAATGAATTCTTACATTCCGTATCAATGGAAATGTTGGTCAGATTGTCAGGCTGTTTGTTGTATGGCTGACTCTAAGCAATTATGGGCTGAGGCGAAAAAAAAATCTAGCCAAATGGCCCTGAGCTATTGGACAACTGTAAGGCTTAGATTGCTTTCTGGCTTTGGCTTATTTTTCTTTCTCCGTAAGTGAGAGCTATCAAAATGGGTAGCAATGCCAGTACCAGCTTTCCCAACCCCAGGTTGGGCTCCTTCTCTAAGGCAAGAACTACATGCCCCAAAATGTGAAGGACTCAAAGTACCTGCTGGTGATCAGATACTTAACCTTTCTAAGCCACCTTTTCTAGGCCTATTGCCTGGGGCAACAAGAAAGTTAAATGGCTATCTGTAGGTGGTAAGGGAGCTAAAATTGGCAGAGATGGTCCATTGAAACATTCTCTTCCAGCTCCTATGTTATGTAAAATTTTGGCTGGTTCTCTTCTGTTTAGTTAAAACAAAACAGTGGGAGGCTGAAGTGGCACAGTGAAGTACTTTGTAATCTGGTAAAGGTAGGTCAAAAAACAGCTTCCACTGAACAGGTATAATGTAAATAAAGCCATTCATAAAGTTGTGCCAGGAGCATTTTTTTCCTTTGTTAAAGGGAAGGAATTGACTTATGCTGGCCACACTTAACTGTTAAATGAAATCTTTCAATGGTTGCTAATTTGGCTTTGGTTACTGGATCTTGAAGGATGAATAGTGATCAATGTTAACAATTTGGTTGTCACTTAAATACATATTAATTGATATACATGTCAACTAATGTATATAGCAGTTGATAATTTTTTGGGAAACATGAAATCTGATTCAATCATACTGAGAGTATTTATCTTGTAATTTACAGGATATTTCACTGCTTGCAACCATTGAAAAGAAAACCTCTGCCAGAAACCTGCCTGGTGTTTGTGTGTGTGTGTGTGTGTGTGTGTGTGTGTGTATGCATGCACACACACATGTTTAGGGTTGATTTAAAAAGCAAACAATCTTTGCTAGTGGTCTTGCTAAAAGACTAAGTACTTCACACTCTTGTTCAGTGCTGTTAGCTGAAGTTGACCTGTTACCTGTTACTAGTCTTCTTGTTTGGTGAGCTGTAGCAAACTAGAAAGCCTCCACAACAGCAAAGCAACATCATGCTTTAGGTAAGCCTTATAGCAAAAACACCCTCCTTCTCAAAGTCTTAGAAATAACTCTCTCTTACTAACTTTTCCACTATTATCACAGACTTCTTACATTTAAAAAAAAGCTCCAAGGATTGCTCTCATGGACTATGTACATAAGTGCAAAAAAGGTGTGTCTCACACATTCGCACCCTAACTGAGGCGATCAGTTAACTGCAGCATATGTCTCTTAAACACTGTTAAGGGGTCATTCCACAGTACTTTTACTATGGTTTTACAAATATGAATTAATTTCAAACTATGCTTTAGCCATGCTTTAATCCTCATGTAGATATATTTATGTATGTAATTCCAGAAACAGAATTTTTGTAGCTACAGCTAAGCCGCTTGAATAGGGTAATTTTGAATAAAGTTATGAAAAAAGATCAGGTAATATAAATGGAATGACTGTGTTTTGAAGTCTAAATACTGTGGAATAACCCTATCCACACGACAAATTCTATAAACAAATAAAGCCTGATTCTGGAATCCATGTGTTGTAAACTTTTAGACCAAAAAGTCACAAAAGGATACAAATTCAGCTTTCATATATGGGACTTTCATATTAAAAAAAATTCAACCATATATGTTTTGAGTTTTGAGCTGTATCTTCTATATGATCATACTGTCACAAACCAAGTAAAGTTTACAAGTAAAATTTTCACATTAAGAAAGTCTAAAGGTAGCCATGTTGTAGTTTTGTTGCCAAAGCAACGACTAAATATCATTAGTTAACAATTATTATTTGTATATAAACGTAAATTTGTTCTTAAACTGTGAACTGTAAAGAATAGTTTTGGACTATAATCTTTATCTTGCCATGCTTCAGTGTCAGTTTAGAACCTATCTAGAGGTGTGCTGAATACATGTAGTAAAAACTTAAACTTTCTCTAACTCTCCTTCAAAATTAAATCCATTAGTTACTTAGAGATATAAAAGTAATAAAATAAAAATCTTAAAAACTAACAATAAGTAAAATGAAAATGTGCACCAATTAGCGAGTTGGTGCTCAGAACCTATATTTGTAACTATATTTACAGTTTAATTAGGCTACCAACTAAATTTGCAAAAAAGTTGTTATACTCTCTTTACATGTTGTTTATTATATTGCCTTTGACAGGCACTGGTACAATTAGGCCACTATCTTACTAAATCTATTCATCAGAATTGGGAAATTAGATTTCCCTCATAAATTTTATCTATTTCTATTTAAATGTGTGTGAAATGTATGAGGGAGAAAAAGAACGAGGACTCCAGTTTCTAATCATTTAGTGTGTCACAGCCTTCCCTAGAGGCTAAAAGAACCCAGAAAACTTGTCACTGTATTTTACCTAAGAACATCCTCATCTACACTCTCCAAAGAGGGGGGAAAAGAGCCAACTAACATCTCAAGTAGCACATGAGCCTTCTCTCTTATTTAATAAAATGGAATGTAAATGTTGGTCCTTATCCAGATACCACTATGCCATTTAAAATGAATTCAAGTTGTAAAGATTAATTTCATTTGGTTCCTGCTTATGGCAAGGAGGAGCTACTTGCTTTCCTTTTTCCCAAATTGGAGAGCAGGTGAGCTGAGGCCTTCCATTAGTGAACACAGCTTAGTGGTATAGGACAACACTTCTGGCAAGATCAAAGTGCTTTAGCATGTTCAAAAACGGATGGAGAAGATTGATGGAGTAGGGAGAAGATGGTTTTCCACATCACAATTAACTACAAATTAAAGACTCTAATCTCGAAAAGTGAAATGAAATGCAACAGCTGGTTGTGGAATCATGCTCCAATTGCAAAAGTAAATACTGCATTTAAATAGCAATTTTATGAATCCATTTATATTAATTTAATGTTACTCCCTCTTTAAAATATACTTATGTTATGGTCACATAGTTCTTTTGTTGAAAAATTGACACTACTAAAACCCTCTTAAGAGATAGCTTTTAGATTATTTTCTCTGTATACATGACCCGTTTTATCTAAGTTTCAGCACTCTTGCATATTTTTGCAAAAGGCTGAGAGAAATGGACAAAAGTAATGATTTTGGATAAATGAAAATAGAGGCCCTTGTAAAATACAAAGCTTATAAAATGTTAACTAAGAATCACAAGTGGTTAGAATTTTATATATACAGTTCATCCAGTAAATTTTTGTTTAGAGTCACTGATTAGTTTTGTGACTTGTCTTTTTAAACTGAAATTTATAGTCTCATGACTTATCTTCTTTTCTTTTCTCCAATAAAGAGAATTTCAATAAGTCATTGCACAACTATGTTAATGAGTGCTATCTTAAACTTGCATTTTTCTCAAAACTGTTGAATTTGATCAAAACTTTAGGGCTTTCAGCTTTCTTTCTTTAAATTCACTTACAAAGCAACTTTTAAAATGCCAACAATATAGAAAATTGTGGCACCAAAAATACAACTACCCTGAATATCCCTCACTGAACCACTTCCTAAAAAATAAGTCATTATTAATGTCTTCCAGTGCTTAAAGCAACATGAAAACAGCTGTACTCCAGGTTTATTTTCTAAGTACATCTTTGCCAAAAGTTACACAAGATAGTACGTTGCATCAAAATGTCAAACTACACAAAAGTTCATTTTGCACAAAAAAACACATTCCTGTCTCCTCTCCTTTAATGAATACATCCAGAGTAGCTCAAGTGCATCCTTCCTGGATTTAAGTAATCAGATCTGCCCTTCTGGAGAGGCTCTGGCACAGATAATACAAAACTGAGTTCCATACACAAGGAATTTCAAAAAGGCATAGTCTACTTTCTTCTATGGCAATAAGATTTCAGGAAACAGAAATTAAGTGGTTCAAAGAGTCCACAGGTAAAAGGACAATTCTTGATCTCTAACTCTAGGCAACACTATTAACAGACAACAGTGACCCAATATAAGCAAGACTGTTTCGATATCACTGTTGATCAGGATTTAGATTGATAATTAAGATCAATAGTATATCAACTACCGGAGAGCTAAATTTGCTCTCTTATATGCTGAGCCAAACCTGTTTTGGGATAGTGTCTCAAATGTTCTTAAGCACAAACAATGTGAAAAGGAAGAACAATGGGAGTCAGTAGATATTTCGGGTCCCACAATGGCTAGGTGGCCTTGGGCAAGTGACATACCCTAGGTCTCAGTTTCATCAAGTGAGAAAAGGTTTTTGCCAACTCCATTGTTCTGTGATTCAAACACTAATAGCCGGCTTAAGGTATCCTAAGTCGGATTTTCTCTTTGCTTGTCATTTTCACAAAGGAGCAAAACAACCCTTTAATATATATATATATATATATATCAAATTTGATGGTTTTATACTTTCCAGTAGGGTAAGGTGTATTTACTAGAAAATATTAAATCTATCTAAGTTGATGTAAAATATATGTTTCCATCATTGTATAATAGCAATGTTAATACCTGACTGACTAGGGTGGAGGAGGTCAATTAATTACTATTTTACTTGGTTGTAAAATTATTTCATAAGTATTAGTAATGCGAATTCAGCTCAACTCCGTGGAGTATAGCCACTCTGTTTCATCCAAAGGGTGCAAAAACAAACCCCTCTTTATTATAATTTTCAAACACATATAAAGGCAAATGAATCCAAATAAAAAGAGAGGCTTGGTTATCATGTGAGAGACTCTGATGTTAAAGTTTGAGCAGGAAACATTTGCCATATATCATGGGAGCTTGTTTCTCCTCTGAAGTGTTCAACAAAACTGGAAACTCAGTTGAACTGAAACTAAAGATAACTGCAGTTATCTTTCCTAGTTCTTTTGAATAAATCAAAGAATAATTTTAAGCCCCTTCCTGTCCCCTGTCCCTGCCATTTCTCCAAACCTGTACTCAGACTCCCTCTATGATTAACAGAGAAGATTGTCCATTTGGGGAGGAAATGCCTCATTTGGAACCAATTCTCTTTAACCCTGACTGACTTTTGCTAGATTGCATCTTATTTATTATTCAAAAATAGTCTAGAGAGCATGAGCCGTTTGCATTTGGAAAATGGCATTTGTGTAAAAGGTTACATTGCAATGGTTTTACACACTTTCCTCCAGTATGTATGAACTATCTCCACACCCCCATCTCTCTGTTTGATTTATAATGTGTAATTAGCATACCTTTAAGCCCCCAATACCAGTTTCTCAGCTGAAGATGACAAATGGCTCAGTTTTAGACACTCAACATAGGAGATAGGATTCTTGAGCCACAAAAAAATGTAATGGGCACTTTACATAATTTGAAATTAAATGCCAAGGAATTCAATCAAAAGTAAGTTCTTGTTTTCCAAACTATTTAAGAGGACTGAATTAGGGGGTAATGTTTTAAGAAGTTCCTTCCTTTGTGCAGGCAATTATTTCTCTCTCACAAAAAAATCTAGTAATTTGATTGTATTATGCAACATCAGATCTGCAGGTACAAATTATACACATGCATGTTTATGAACAGGTTTTCTGCATACTCAAAAGTGAGGCCTTTTAAGTGTCTACCCCAAGAAACCTACAGAAATATTCTAAAGAGAAAGAGAGAGAGCATATTAACATGAAACTGTCATGTTTCTCAAGCACATATACTTTTGTTCCCCACTAATAATGTTTTAGTTGAAATCAAACACCATACATATACAGTAAAACACTACAGTATGTGAAAACCTAACACAACACAACACAATACGATAACAGGAAAAATAGTACTGAATATATGTGTTACATTCTAAATGAACCCAATAGACTATTATGTAAACAAAATAGTAAGGTAACACTTCAAAAACAGATAAATATTTAACCACCAAGAATGTATAGAAAGCCAACAGTTCACTGTGGAAATTCACTTAGCATGGTTACTGGAAAATCACAAAGAGTAATGTAACAAGTTACACAATTTTATGGTCATGTTCTACTTGATAATTCAAATAAGATGAATGGTAGTTATTAGTTTTCTATTTGTGTTTTCTTTTAACATCTCCATTGATTTTTAATGCTTTATTTTTTATCTGAATCTGTTGGCTAGTATCTTTGCTTTGCTTAATATATGGACTGCACCACACTTATTGTTGTGTTGGTAGAAGAGGACATACGAGAATATATATAGAAAGGCCATACAGAGGTTCTCACGGAGAGATTCCGATACTCCATAATTCTGCTGTTCAGAACTTCAACTGAAATGGAAAACAAAAGAAAGAGTGAGAAATATTGAAGGGTTATTTAACTAGGAATCAGGAGGCGGTGGTTCTTGTTCCAGTTCTGTGGGTGAACTATGCCAAGACATCTCCCACCCTGAGTTGCAGATTGTACTTCTGTGAAAATGGGGCTGTTTGAATGATCACTAAAGAGTTGTATAGCTATGATAGTCTATAGGTCCCATTGAGTGCTAATGTAGAGAACTGCCCTAAATTAACAGAGATGCACTCCATTGTTGACGGCATCGTCTATTCAATGCCAAAACTTTTTGCTGAACATCCACCCATTTGTCCACCTCCTCCAACTGGCATGTATTGAGAAAATGTGTTTGATACCAAACATTTTAACATATGCAAATATTAAATAAACTTTAAACTTTTCATCTGAATGTTTTATAGCCATGCAGAAGTAGCACTAAGTGTAAAACCTAGGTATACAGTATTGCACAAAATTACATTTTTGAGCTTTGGAGAAATTTTCAACACCTATTACATATGGAAGTGATTATGTTCTGCCAAATACGCATTTTCTAATGGAACCAAGCAAAAATGAATCAGTCTTCCCAAAAATGTTCTGTTGGAAAGTTAATTATATTTGAAGACTTTTGTTTACCTTGATGTGAAGCAGCCCATTAGAACTAGGCAAGTGTTGGTAAAACCTACATTCTCATGTTTGGTGCTATTCCCAAGTTGCCACTATTCCAAATGACACCCCTGAAAATTACTTCAATTTATAGCCTCTTCAGCTTTCCCATGTACTCAAAGGTGTCTTTTTAAAACATTCCTTATGACTAAAGGGACCTATTTATTTAATGTACAGTCCTATCAGCTTTGTCTACAACAGTTAGTGCTCTGGGCCTGTGTATCCTTCGCAGGAAAGAAGGGCTAGCTGGGATCTTGACAACTAGTCCACCAGGGGACAGAACTGCTACCTCCTTCAACCAAATGATACACTCCAGGTGTGAGAACTTCAAACTTTCAATGACTAAGGTATACTTATTCAGTGTTGGTACACTATTTTAATAAGTCCCTAGAATTAATTAAGATACCTAGGAGTCTTAAGTGGCTTCAAAAGTCATACATTGCAAGTGAACAACTGAGCAAATTAAATGTATGTCACTATGAACTCTGGACCAGGCAAAGAGGAGATCAAGGGTGGGTGGGTGGGGGGAATCCAACAACAACAACAACAAATTTTTTTTAAAAAAAGAAGACATGATTCAAATGAAAATAATGAGTACTAAATTATGTCACTCAGACAGCTGGAGCAACCTTGATTTACATGGGAAGCAACACAATGCAGCAGACTATAAAAGCACTACTTTCTACCATGTCATAGGAGAAGCATATTGCTTACTGTCTTTAAGATGATGATTTCAGTCAAAATCCTGACAAAATTATTGTTTTAACTTCAATAAAATAATGAAGCTATAAAAATGTTAAAGAATTAAAATTGAGAAGTGATCTGTGCCTTTGGCTAACAAATCATACTCCTTTAATGATAGGAAAACATTTCAGAATTTGTAAGCTCATTGGGAAAATACAGTACCAGCTGTCATTTCCATACTAAAAATTTGCATATGTGCTCTCACATTTCAATTTGGAAAATTTAGAATGTGTAAATCAAGCTCTAAGTTACAAGCAATATCTATTAATGAAAAATGAAAATATTTACTGAAGCTTTTAGCAAATGTAATTGTGTAAATAAAAATATATAGCCTATAAATATTATTTATATTAATACTTAAAGAAACTTACTGTTCTACTGGTAACTTCTACATCTGTGAAACAAACATGCTGCTATTCAGTTCATCTACTGATAATTGGGGTATCTATAGTAGTAAAAAAGATTTGATTAAAATCGTTTCTTGAGAGAAGTCTGTTTATTTCGTTCACTGCTTGGACATGGTAATCAATAACCATAATCAATTTCACAGAAAATTTTAGACATATTAACTATTTTCACTAATAGTTAATTTTGGAAAGCAAAGCTGAGAAAGTGGTTTGTTCCTTCAGTGAATTAATTTCTCTGTATGCTTCATGGGTATCATACTTGTAATTTAGACAGCAGTAGAACTTACAGTCTGTAAGCATGGTTACTGCTTTAATAAGGCAAAATGGCCATAACATTATACAATAATTATTATATGTATCTGCTCCCCCCAAATTTATAATTTGCTTTGGAAATTCTGCCTGGAAAATCAAAATAATACAAGCATACCTAGGGTCCATATGAGAAGGAATTTCTAATGTAATCACTGAGAAATTGATAAGTATATCTGTGCCTTGGAAAGAAATGAAATATAATATCTTGCAGTGGATCTGAAAGTAAAGGTGATGATTGCACTGCTAAAGCTTAAATACAGTAACCAAAAATGGCAGTAAAATAAAATAAATTCTTCTCTTGACCAATGAAGAAGCATTTAAGAAATATTAAGTATATATTTGAAGATTGGTGCAATAGCAATTATCAGATATAGAATATCTAGATCAACATCTAGTAACTAATTAAAAATGAGTAAAAGTCTGCTGATTACTCTCAGGAGGAATAGCAAAGCTCTATTGCTATCTCATCACTCTAGAATATACACAAAAATAAAACTTCTAAGGCTGAGCACAGTGGCTCATGTCTGTGATCCTAGCACTTTGAGAGGACCGCTTGAGGCCAGGAGTTTGAGACCAGCCTGAGCAAGAGGGAAACCCTGTCTCTACAAAAACTAGAAAAATTAGCCAAGTGTGGTAGGACATGCCTATATCCCTGGCTACTGGGGAGGCTGAGGCAGGGGGATCGCTTGAGCCCAGGAGTTTGAGGTTGCCATGAGCTATGATGATGTCACTGCACTGTGGCCCAGCCCACAGAGCAAGACCCTGTCTCAATAAAAAATAAAAAAATGAAAATAATTATAAACAGTAAAAAACTTCTAAATATGACACTTGCTTAAGAAACATGTAAGAATATGAAGTAATGTCTCTTGCCAATCCAAAAAGCATATACTGTGCCTTACCAACACATTATAGTTATCTAGGTCTAAACAGGTAAAATAAATGGCCAAACCTGATTGCCTGTAGCTGTTGCAGCGAAGGGAACGTTGGTGGCAGGTGTTGTTGCTGCAGACACAGTGGTAGGTGTAGCACCGTGCATCATGGGCACTTTCAGTAGGAAACCATGGAAGCAACACACAGGACAGTGGAGCATTTATGCAACCATGACATATACGATGGAATGGGGCGTGGTAGGTATCACAGCAACAAGCCATGTGACATCATCATGATGGAAACATCAGGGTGCGGCATGCAATCACAATCAGTGCAAAGCAACACAGCATGGAAGGGGGAAAAATTAAAAAAAGAGAAAGGGGAAAGCCAATTATAGTTACCATTAAGGAAAACAGAACATTCTCAACATTTAGTAAGTTTTTGAGCAGAATCACATTGTAGTTGAGTCAAAAGGCCAAATTTTTGGAAGGGGTTATAATTTTAATGAATACATAAGAAAAAAAAATCTGATATTACCAGGGCTTTCTATATGAAGCTATTTAAGCAGACAAGTAACTGGACTGCACATTCATAAGGGGATTAGGGGATTATAAATTGGTGTTTGGCTTCACTGATTTACAGCCATGAGTGCTGTCAGTAGACTTGCAGGTGCAAAGGGACAGTAATATGTATACTTACCTGCTCTGCATGCCAAAAGTGATAGTTTGATTGTGAGTATGTGGTAGGGGAGCAGATATGAAGAATACAGTGAACTATGTGTGCAGGTTTTTAAGTACAACTCTGGCAAACTCTTCGAAACTTTGGCTATGTATCAAACAAAGACATGGAGTACTTCATAGTAAATCTTGTCTTCAAAGCAAATATTATAGCTACAATGGCGAGCAGCTGCAAAATCTCTTTCAGGATGTTTTCTCTTTGCCTTTTCTAGTTTCTATCTCATTTTGAAAGCTTTTTGGATGCTTTTCTAATTTCTAGCTCATTTTGGAAAGCAAACCGGGGAATTAATGTGTAAATGGCAATGTGTGAATGGAAAGCATGCATATATAATAATTTATCATGTCTACATTGATTGAATTCAGATTTTCTGAAAGTCTACAGAGAAAGTGAATGGCTGGAGAGAGAAAAATTGACATACGCAATGTCATAGAAACTGAAAATGTACCCCAAATGGTGATTAACAGCAACTCTGTAGTAATCTCTTCCATTCATCTCTAGTTACACATTACCTATAGCCATCCCTTCTTGTCTTACATGCCAATTCTAAAGCATTCTTGTTTTCCCTTTGGGATTGTGGCAACTGTACAGGAAGCAGCACCACTAAAGCATGCAGTCTGTATTCCTAAGCAGAGCTCTGAAGGTAAAATGACAAAGGAACATCCCTGAGAAAACAATCACAAAATGTGAAGACAGAGACACATTTTTCAAACTTGCAGAAGTCTGTTCTTCTAATCATATGCATATAATGCTCCTGTTAGTATCAATGAAACTGTTGTTAGTTCCTACACGGGACAACCAACCCCTCAATGACAGAGGCCTCACCTCCACTGCCAGGGTTCGAATATTGATACGTTAGTGAATGCTGCTACTATGTGGTTGTCATTTTGATCTTTTGTTTTATTTCAAGAAGCCTGTTACTAGTGCCTTTTGGGCTCTGCATCTACTCTGGTCCACTAATGGGATGGAGATCAAGCTGTTGCAAACTCTCAAAAAGGATGGGAAGAACTGGATTGATATGAGATAATGGGGTGGGATCATTCCTCACTGCGTTGAACAGAGTTATTTTCTCCTGGTCTGTTCCTGATTCCCATGAGGACTATAGGAACTGTGAACTTCCATTTCCTTTCTCATCCTCTTCAGTGTTAGTGATTGTGTTGATAGTTAACTAAAAGATCTGCATGCAACTGGTTGTTAAAAATCACATAACGCCCAAAGAAATGATTCTGTTGTGCCTAGTTTCTGTGTAGTTGGTGCTTCAGCCTAGAACACTACAGAATTCGTAATGGAGCACTACAGAATGCTCTAGCTTTGTGTAACTTATCCTTTGTTAACATGTGAGTATTGAGTGGTTTACACTGTATGGATAACTTTTGGGGGGAGGCATTGTTTCATTTTACTTTCCAAATTATACATTTGAGGTATTTTATTAATTTTTAAATAATTGATGTAAAGCTAAGAACAAAACTGCCCAGTCTGGCCAGGTAAAGAAACATTTTTAAATATTCCAGTTGCTATTTTTAGGGTAGAAACAGAGAAATGACAGGGTCAGTATTTGGCCACAGTGGCAACCAACTAGGACTTGAAAAAGTAGGACTATTTTGATTCCACAAAGACATGAAAAAGAAAGCACCATATTAGACCTTAATTAAGTACTCAGAAAATGTCTAGCCACATCTTTCAGTTACTCATCTATTTCATAGTCACAACAGAAAAACACATTTTTCAGATTAGAAAAAGTTGAGAATTTTTATACAAAACCTACCAATACTTGAAGCGGGTGCCATGCACAGTATTGGCCCTGTACACCATGCAGAAAAAGCGTGGAAAGTAAAGAAAAGAGATATTTCATTATTAAAGCTTTACTGATAGAAATAAATTTTAACTAGAAAGATATTCTTTTATCAATTAATCAGCACATGCAAATCCAGTAATCTCCCATGCTTACAATTACAGATTAGCTTGAAGATCACAAACCCAAGTAATCAAAATAATTCTTGGATTCTTAGGTACAAAAGAGATCTTTAATTTTTCTTTAAAGGAATTATATCACTTAAATTACATATTTTGGACAGATATAGCCTAAATACTTTTTATCATAAAAAGGAGGATTTTAATTACATTTTTTTTTCAAAATACGCTCCAGGATCTGTTATCTGTGCCCATATTTCTATTGAAAGCATTAATCTATGAACACTGCTGCCTCTACCTCATTGTAACCAAGGACTTGACTATGAACAAACAAATAAGCTTTCCATTAAGAGGGGGCTCATAGCTGGATAGCTTTTTATTTTGCTATTAATTAAGGGGGAGAGGATTTTTCTGGCATTCTTGCTTACAAATCTAGATTTTATATTAGCCAAATCTGGAAAAGAAAGTTCTAACTTCTAAACTAAGAATAACTGTAGTATTAAGAAAACCTAGAATGAACAACATAACTTTTATTACCTTCAACCACCTCGGCTAGATTTCTTGGGCTACCAAATTCATTCCATAGATACAAGATAAATTGGAAGCAACTGAGGTGGAATGATCTAATATTTGGGTAAATTTACCACAATTTTTAAAGAAAAAAATGCCAGAAATAAAGTCACCACAACTCACCTCATACTGGTTTTCTCTTTTACTCTGTGGACATTAGTTTTTTCTTAGGTTTAGGGAAAAATTCTAAATTATTAGATATCAATAATCACTTATTATAAGTGACATAAAAAGTGCTAAAGAATTCCATTTTCCTTTCAGAAACTATTATGTAAGTGCATAAAAACCATGTTATTTAAATGATTGTCATGAAGAACTATTGTGGTTAGTAACCAAAGACTGGTTTTTGCATGGCTTCATTCAAAATTAATTAACTGATTAATTTACTAATTAACCAATGGGCTTTTTCAAGTCCAAGTATACAACACTATGTGTTTAGCATGTTTATATAAATAACATGGCTTTCTAAATTAATTTCTAAAACATATGCTAGTTTCATTTAATAATAGTTTCCAAACAAGGGCATTAGGATTCTGGCAAAAATAAAAAATATAGCATACTTCCAGTGTATTTTCAATTTATTCCTAAGAGACTATATGCTCATTCTTAAAGTACCAAACCACTGGAAGAAAATTATTTCTCCCCATATATGATATTTATTTGAATAAAATGCTGGCTTAAATTTTTCTATTCAATTTGGTACAAAACTATTATGCTATTCAATATGGTTGAATGCAGGAGGTAATATAAAATATGGGGTAAAATGTCAGAAAAATATAATAAGCTTTTTTAATATTACCTGGTTCAAGAGTTAGAGGCTAAAACTACTTGTTTTATATATACTATACTATACTATAACTTTAAGGGCAGTTTTATTATAACTACCTTTGGCATATCAACAATATATAGACCACAGATTTTCATATACTGAAGCTGGGATTGTTTTTTCTTTTCTTTTTTTTTTTGACAGCAGACTGCTGTCTGTGAATGTGATACCTAAGAGTCAAAGAATTAGTTTGAGACTGAACCAAGTGACTCAATCATAAGAAGCAAAAAACAAGAAATACTAAAACGAATAATGTTGATACCTTTTCCTTGTTTAATTTCAAACCATTAGTTTTCAGGAATCATAGAAAAACAGGTTGTTCTAGATACCAGCAGGTCAAGCATAACTGACCAGTTTTATTTCTAATCAAAATATATGTCAACAGTCCCCTCGTAAAAGCTCTTTTGAAGCTGCTTTGGATTATATACATTCACAACATTACTAAACTCACCGCAGTGCCCAGAGCTGTGTACTCACCTGCAGGGATAAATGCCGGCTGTGGGAGCTGTAGGTTAGCCAGAGCCTGTTGGCAGTGGAAAACACTGGGATTAAAGACTGGGGTGGCACCATTGGTCTTTTCAAGTGCCGATCTCTTTGGTATCAGTTGCAGTGCACCAGGCTGTAGAGCCTGTGGAGGGGGGGTGGATTAATCATTACTAGCAGAGAAAGTAAAACACATACACAAACCAAGCAAGCAGATATGGCCCAGGAATCTTCTGTCAGGGTATATCTATTGAGCAAGACTTTGAATAAACAGTGGCAAGGTAACCAACTATGATTAACCAGTGAAACTATAAGAGTAGATAGTCCAACAGAAAAAAAAAAAACAAACTTAAAGCTTTTAAACTTCACTAATTTAGACCTCATCGAGGCAGGATGCAACAGAAAGTTATTACAGCAAATAATCATTTAAAATGAACGTCTCAGTGATGCTCATCTATTAATCTACAAAGATGAGATTAGCAAAGGCAACAGATTTAGGAACAAAGAGATTTCTGCCACTTAAAATTCCAATATGGATCTAGGAGACAAATGGTAGATATGTGATAAAACAGATGTTGGTAGATCAATGTCTGACACGTAGCCCCATAAAATAACATCCAATTAATACAAAGACTTTAGGTTCAAATCCTACAACTGTATATTTCTTAACTAACATGTAAGGACAAAGCAAATGAATCATTCCTCCCTCACTGCCTACCTTAGCCAGGTAGTTAGCAAAATGTTTACAGTTCTCATTTATAGTGGCTTACTGTGCATTTTAGTATGTACCATATGGTTTGTTAAGTCCTTGTAAGGTTTAATTCCAAAACTTATTAGCATTTTTAAACCTTCCTTTCATGTTTACAATCCTTTCAAAAATCCCACTGTGCTATGATACTTAGTCAAACTTGCCCCTGGATCAGATTCATTGGAGAAGTTTAACATTACTTTATATTTTTTTTTCTCAGCAAATTGCACAGTAGTTAAAAAACATGTCCCAGCAACAATTCAGTATGCTCCAAATTCTTAGGGAGACACAAACACTTCTGATAAGTAGCCTTCCAGGTGCCAAAAATGGTCATGCCATGATCTCCTTGCTATGGATAACCAAGGCCTCAAGGTATCTCTATTTTCTTCTGGGAACTGTACTATCAGAAAACTACTGTGAGGTCTGTTATTTATTTCAGACAATTTTGACTGGTTTCTGCTGGTGTAGAAAAGCTTACACCATTTTGAACCAGATTTTACTGGTTTTAACCAGACAAAGCTTAGACCAGTTTCCACTGGACTAAACTGGTCTAGACCAGTTTCAGTGGGTTTAAACCAGATTCAGCCAGTTCAGAATGGTTTCAGCTGGTTAAACCAGTTTAAGACAGCCTGGTCTGCTTACAGCTGGTATAGACTGGCTTCTTTTGGCTTAGACTAGTTTAGACCAGCTGAAACCAGTTTCACCCAATTTGGTCTGGTTTTAGCCAGTTTAGACTGGTCTAGAATAGTTACATCTGGTTTCAGCCAGTTCGGGCTGGGTTTCTCTGGTTTGGACTAGTTTCAACCAGTGTAGACCAATTTCAGCCATGTTGGTCTGGTTTCAGGTTTAAACCAGTTTCAGCTGTTTTAAACTAGTTTCAACTGCTTAAACTGGTTCTCACTGGCTCAGTCCTGTATAGAATGGTTTGGGCTGGTTTATACTAGTTCCAGGCAGTTTAGAGTGGTCCCAGCCAGCTTAGACCAGTTTCAGCCAGCTTATTCTGGTCTAGACTGGTTTCGACTGATTTCAGCCAGTTCAGACCAGTTGCAGCCAGATAAGTTGGGTTTAGAATGGTTTCAAATGGTTCAGACCAGTTTCACTTGGTTTGGACCAGATTCAGCTGGTTCAAAACAGTTTAGTCAGCTAAATCTGGTTGAGGCTGGTTTCCACTGATTTCAGCTGGGTCAGACTGGTTTTAGCCTGCTTAGTCTGGTTTAGACCAGCTCCAGCCAGTTTACACTAGTCTGGACTGGTTTAGACCAGGTACAGCCATTTTATTCTGCTTTCAGCAGGCTCAGAGTGGTTCATTCCAGTCTAGGCTGTTTTAAACTGGTTTAGATTAGTTTCAGCTGGCTTAGACCTGTTAAGTCTGGGTTACATCCATTACAGCCAGTTTAGACCAGTGCAGACGGGTTTAAGTTATTTTCAACTGTACAGGTTTCATGTGGCTTAGATGTCGTTTGACTAGTTTAGACCCTGTTTTACTGGTTTCTATTAGCTTTGACTGCAAGACTGGTTTAATCTATTATGGACCACTTTCAGCTGGTTTCAGCCACTGTCCATAGGTTGGAGAAATTAAGCATATTTGGCTTAGAGAGGAAATGTGAAAGTCACTCTCATATGGGCTAGAGATTAACTTATATTGTGAAGTTCAAGTTGCAGCAAAATAAATTTCAACTCCATATGACGTTAACCTTCTTAATAAGGATGTTTGAAAATAAATGTATCTCTTTTGTGAAAAAGTAAAGTCTCTGTCATGGAACTCTGAACTATAAATACACATGAGGAGAGTTAGCTCACAGTGCATCTCCTCAGCTTCAGGGCCATGTAAGTGGTTTTTCCATACATAGCCAGGGGACATGAGGTTTCCTCAAGGATTTATCCCCTATTGTGGCTGTTATACTCTATTGCATGTGGAACTATCCAGGTAGAAAAAGAAATAAATATCAATCAGCACATCAAAATAATTGACAGTTGTGACAAAGTAATCATAGTTTTTTGTTCTCAACCTGTCATACTGTACTATAACACAAATTTTTCCCCACTTCCTACCTTTCAGTATAATTAAACAGAACTAACTTTCCCCCACAACTGATTTGCTAGGGCAACTCAAAAGGCAGGCCTCTTCTCTTAACCATGTAGAAATTTCCCCCCAGACTTAGCAGACTGCTGCCTTTGTCTTCAATACCATTCCTCCAAAAAGGAGAAATAACCGCAAATTAACCTTTGGGAAATTATAAACTACTTAATATCCCATCTTTCAAGTGCTCTGTTTTGGAAAAGAATTAAGAATATTAGTAGCAAAGTGCCCATGAAGGTGGCTCATAGAGCAGAGAGGCAACTTTCTGCCTTTCTAGGATATTACAAGTACTTAGACTATAAAAGCACTCAAAAATAATTTACTGTTTAAATCATATAATTTAGCCTTTCTCTGAAAATGGGAGAAAGAACACAGTAAGTTAAGACCATTAGTAAAGCTTTTAAATAATTATCTTTAGAAAATTGTAGCAAATAAAGTAAAAGAAATAGGTTCCCTCTTTTCTAGTGTATAACCTTGACTATCCATATTAAGGTCCACTCATGACTATCCAAGATTATGGTTACAGGATATTAAACAAATTGGGGACTATTTGAGTCATTTACCCTAAAGAGGCCACGAGTCCAGGCCTGTTCTTACCATCGCAGGGGCAGCTGAATGGTTCATCTGGTGATGAGCTGCCTTGAGTTTGGCTTGCAAGTGTGCAGGAGGATGAAAGTACTTGCATTTCTCCCGGGAGCATCGACCTTTGATGTAATCCATGCAGATTGTCACAGTATTATCACTTGCTTCAATCATGGAAACATCTGTAGGGTGAGCATAGCGGCAATCGTTCTCCCCACGGGTACAATTTCCACGCTGAAATTCTCGGCAAACCTTAAAGAGAAAAACACACACACACACACACATACATACATTGATGACTGGAAGGTGACTGGATTTCTTTTTTTTTTTTTGCCAGTGAATGTAAGAGTAATTGCATATCTTTTGTGTATATTATTTAGGAAAAAAATCTAAAAAGATGAAGGATGATGTATAGCCATATTCAGTATGAGATGTAAACACAGACAGAATTTCTACTCCTAGGAAAAAAATTCCATTCTCTCCAAAGAAAAACTGTCTATTTTCCCTACATTGAAATAAAAGTACTTAAAAGTATTATCAAAAACCAATTTTAATCCCCCAGTTAATATACAGCCTAAGTGTGATTCATTTTTTAAAGTTCCAAGATGAGTCTTTATCACCCAGCAATGCACGGGTGGTTTTCCACAACCAACTTGTGAACCATGACTGGGTTATATGTACAATCAGAGTCTATTACAATACATTAACCAGGCATTTAAGGGGCTGCCAAAAAGAGCTGACTTTGTAAGAAATCAACTAATTATTTATTTCAATGTTCAAAGAATGACAATTAAGGGAAGACTGAAAGATTTCAATAAATCAAAAAGCTGTTTGAAATTTCTTTTAAATTTTCTTTTCTTAGGCATCAGGGGGTATTTATTATCTAGTACATCATTCTTAAAATGGAGAAAAAGGTTTACATACTATGAGATTCATTTACAGTCTGCATTCCTATAACTTTACATTCTGCAATCATAGAGATTGCAGTGTACTTTTTTATATGAGTCGACTTTTTTTCCAGTTTCACTGTTCTAGCAAGTAAAGACTCATTAACAAACATAGTAATCCCATTCTGTAAAGCTGGCATCTGAGTGCAAGGAGCATTTCCACTGAGACTTCTTGTGCCACAGCACCCAGGGGTGGGGAACCTGCAGCCTCAAGGCTACATGTGGCCCTCTAAATCCCCAAGTACGGTCCCTAGACTGGATCCAAACTTCACAGAACAAATCCTTTTAATCACAGAAGAAGTCCTTTTAATAAATTTGTTCTCTAAAATTTGGATTTGGTCAAAAGGCTGCCAAAGTATACTATGGCTGGGTATATTTAAAACATTGTTTCACCTACTATATAACTGAATTAATGTACTTCATAACAGGGTATGATTACAGTAGTAAAATATTTAACATTTTTCTGAGGTTATATTTCATAAGCACTCCATAAGCTAAAAAACTTGGGTACATTTATTTAAAACATTCAACACACTGGGGTCTGAGAATGTTACTTAATGCATAAGGTTAATATCTATCTTACAGATATTTATATATTTCTTTATAAATACCTCCAGTTTATCTGAACGCATCACTTTTGGAACAGGAGCTCCTGGCAATGCGAGAGGTGGGTTTCCAGAAATCAGAAAAGGCGTGTTTGGTAGAAGTTCGGCAGGAACCAGGCCCATCCCAGGATGAGGTAAGTAAGGGTTGAAAGCCATGGCAGGATTAGCTGCAAGTGATGGTGTCATAGGAAAAGAAGTCTGTATGTTTAAAAGAGAAAAAATAAATAAAGGTGTTAGATGCAAACAGATTCTTCCTATTATTACACAAGGAGGCATTCTTTCAGAAATATCAGAATCCTAAGCCACATCAACATCTACCATTGTTTCTGCTGATTTATCTTTAGTCTCATACTAATTCCCATATAGAAGTTGCTTTTAAACCAACAAATCTCTTTAACAAATTTATTGATAAGTTGTTAAAACAAGCCACATGGTTTTTTTTTGTTTTTTGGTTTTTTTTTGAGACAGAGTCTCGCTTTGTTGCCCAGGCTAGAGTGAGTGCCGTGGCGTCAGCCTAGCTCACAGCAACCTCAAACTCCTGGGCTCAAGCAATCCTCCTGCCTCAGCCTCCCAAGTAGCTGGGACTACAGGCATTCGCCACCATGCCCGGCTAATTTTTGTATATATATTAGCTGGCCAATTAATTTCTTTCTATTTATAGTAGAGACGGGGTCTGGCTCTTGCTCAGGCTGGTTTCGAACTTCTGACCTCGAGCAATCCGCCCGTCTCGGCCTCCCAGAGAGCTAGGATTACAGGCGTGAGCCACCGCGCCCGGCCCACATGGTTTTTTAACAGTCGTGAATTAGCCAAATTAAATCTCATTTTTAGAGCCTGTTCCACATATATTTCCTTTTTTTACCTAAAATCCCTGTCACCAATGATATCACATATATTATGATCTTGTCTCCTTATGCAGGCATGGCCTTTGCAGGCAGACTTCAGATACTCCTGAATGCCCCCTTCCTTCCACCCTCTTCCCTTCTCTTCCCCATCAGTACTGCTGGCTCAAAAAGGCTGCCTGTCTTACCACAGGTCCCATCTGTACTACCAAGCATTGGCCTTGCTTCTCTCTTCTTGGCCCACTGACAATAAAGAGAACAAAAAGTCAAGGAAGAAAGGGATAGATTAGAAAAAGTGAGTGCTTTAACAATTTCTTGCCATTTTCCTATAAGATTCATATGGTCATTATATGTCATTATTTTTTTGATTAGATGTCCTGTTTCACAAACTAATCTGACTTTTCTAGACTTATCTTTATCTAGGGGGCCAGATGATACAGTTCAAAACAAGGCCCTGGAAATGCTAGAAGGATCCCTGCCAGGCAGGAAGAGATAAGATAACAGGATTATATGGTACATAAACTACAGTATAACATGTAATGAAAAGCCTGAGAAATGCAAAGGGACATTACTGGTTTTCCCATTTTTAAAAGTCCTGGACTCAAAGAGTTTAATATATATATTGCCTTTATTATCTGAAACTACATAATGTATCCCTTTACTGTGCTGTTTTCCAGTTTGTTCCACATGTGAGCATCTTTTCTTCTCAATGTGGTTATACTTTCTTTGATCTCTCCCCTATATACCCAATATTTAGTGAATGACTAACAGATATAATCAACAATAAATTTTTAAAATAAATTTTAACAATTTAATGAATGAATAATAAATCATGACTAAATGTATTACATTTCTAATAGTGACTCTATAAGGTAGTTATTGTGTAACTGATGATGTTTGTGTATTACATGTATGCTTTTTTTATTTCCTTTTACTAAAAACATAATGAATCTGTTGCATTGTCAAGCTGAGCCCATACCTGCTAAATCACATTAATAGGAACAGCTCTAAAGACAAGTATAATAGGAGACTGTGGACTACAAAGTGAGGGGCAATATATACTCATTGCTCCAGCCCCACACAGACTTGAAATTGTCACCAGCACAGCACTGCAACAAGCCCCTGTTATAAACCACATTCAGCTTGGAATGAAGTCCTCCCACATTAACACTCTATGTTACAGGAGTTTATCAAATTATCTGATTGGTACATTAGTAAGGGTTAAAAAAATCCAGCCCCATGAACTGGCAAGACTAACTAGGATGAGTACAGAAGGCATGGTGGCCAAGAGTCTGATGAGGAAAGGGACACCACCATGTGCCAGAAAAGATGATGATTAGTCAGAGGAGGGGCTATAAGGTTTGGGGCACAAATAGCCAAGGGATGACCCAGCCCAACTAGATATTGTGATTTGAGAGGCTCCAAGGATATAGGATACTTCTTATCCAATGAGAAGTGAAGCTCAGGAATTCGTTGATGTGACATTATTTTATATGAAAAGGAAATCTCCTGGAAACAGCCACCCAGGCATACTTCAGCAATAAGGCAGACTTTTTCAATTCAATAAGTCATAGTTGTCTCAAAATCAGCAAGAATGTCTGATGGTAAAAACTCCATTTTTGAACCACACAATAGTACTCTTCATTTCACTTTCTGTTTTCTCTGTTTGTCCCAGTCAATTTCTTACTGAAGTCACCATCCAATTCTCCTGGACACTTTTTGCTTTTGCCTTTTACAAAACTGAGGACTATTATTACATCTATCAATTATTGAACTGAAAGAAAGACCTGGAGGTGGGTGAATTTTCCAGATTAAAAAAATCATTAATCAGTAATAAATACTGACCAATTAATAATATTTAAGCTTAATGTACATGTAAGCAATGCTTTCTGTTTATGGTAGCTCTGAACTTCTATAATTTTTTTCTTTCCTTTTTTTGAGGTGACTCACCAGGGACATTTTCTTGGTTCAATTCTGCTTTCTTTGGAATGCATTTTAACCTTCCTAGGTTTGTTATATGTTCCAAGTGTATGGAAAAAAAGCTGTAAGTTAATTAATAGTCTATATAGAAAATGTAAGAGTCTTGCTGAAAATATTTAGATTTTTCTAAGGTTTCACCACAAACTATACTGTGCTATCTTTAGGTTTTAAGACTAGTATCCTATCTTTTATAACCATTTCCTCCTTGAGTATTTTCATTCTATTAACTGTTTATTGAGAAAAAGCAAGTTCTTCCATTCTCAACCCTGGGGCAGAGGGTGGAAGTCCTAAACTGTTTATTTTCAAATGGACATTTCTGTTTTCTCACCAACCACCTCTGCCCCAGGGTAGCTACTCTATTTCATGATTTGAACATTTCAGGGTTTAGCTTTGACTAACAGCCACAGGTTAAATCAAGCAGCCTGCAAGCTCATAAGCTCAGCTTTAATGAGCAACTTTAATCCTGACTCTACCCATATCACAGCCCTTGATGTCAGTTGAGCTAACATGAACCTCTCTGTGGGTTAATGTTTAAAGAAAAGAGTTCTTAATACATTGAATCTGATTTCTCTTCATAGCCTGAAATGGTCTAGACATTAAAATATGTCTCAGAGATTCAAATCTGAGCCTAAATTATTTACTATATACTTGAAAATATGAGAAGGCTTTTTCTCCCATAACCAGAGGTGTGAATTTTCATCTTTCTGAGTACTGTAAAACCAACAAGAATGGTGGAGACTCCAGGCTAATTTATGAATAAGAAGATCACCTGACAATTATTTACCCTCAGCGTCTCTGTTAGCAGTATTAGCTCCTACAGCAGAAATTCCCATGAGTTCCCAGTGACTTGCAGAGTGCCTAGGAACTCTCAGGCACTCAGAAAATGTCTCCTAAAAATTAATGAAGTGTCTCAAGAATAGTGGCTCCTAATCTTTTTTGAGTCTGGGATTTCTCTGACAGTCAGATGAAGGCTGCGGATTCTGTCCACAAAAAAATTCATGTATGCACGAAATGCTGCTTGTGATCTCAGGAAGTTCAAGGACCTTATGACACTCATCCCTTGTGTGGGATTGTGGACTACTTACTGGTTAAGGAACCCGTGTTCTAGAGTAAATGTTCGCAAACTAAAGCCCCTTGGTCAAATTCAGCCTGCCCGTTTGTGTATGGCCAGTGACCTAAGAATGGTTTTTACAGTTTTAAATGGTTGAAAAAAATTTAAAGAATAATATTTAGTAACACACAAAAATTATACAAAATTCTCATTTCAGTGTCCATCCACAAATTCAAATGTGCTCATTAATAGGTCTGTCTTACAAAAAATTAGAGATATTTGTTTTCTTTCTTGTTATATAAGTACCTATATAATATCCTCAACTTTGCCTCTTGATTCACACAGCCAAAAATACTAACTAGCTAGTTACAAGAAAGTTCACTGAACATGGTTCTAGAGGATTCCAAAACATAAAATACCCTATCAACTTCTGGAGTAAGGCACCAATTATATATAAATTTATTCATCTGAATTTAATATTAGTGACAAGATTCCACAACACTAAGGTATAGGTATTTGCTAAAATGCTCTTTTCAATAATTACTAAAATTAGGATTCTTAACTATTTGTTTATAGAACAATCACTACTTAGCAATTAAGAATGAGGAGAGTAGTTGAAATCTTATAAAGTGAAATTTTGGGAGTCACCACATATTGATCTTAAAGGATTCTGAAGCACCTTTGAATAATAATGCGACTCAATATAAAACTATGCCTCAAATATGTTTGCACACATTTTAGGAACATCGACTTATTACTTAAAACGGTTTATTCCTTAAGCTAGTATAAAGAAATGGAAATTGGCTGGGCGTGGTAGCTCATGCCTGTAATCCTAGCACCCTGGGAGGCCGAGGCAGGCGGATTGCTCAGGGTCAGGAGTTCAAAACCAGCCTGAGCAAGACCCCGTCTCTACTAAAAATATAAACAAATTACTTGACCAACTAAAAATATATATACAAAAAATTAGCCGGGCATGGAGGTGCATGCCTGTAGTCCCAGATACTCGGGAGGTTGAGGCAGTAGGATCTCTTGAGCCCAGGAGATTGAGGTTGCTGTGAGCTAGGTTGATGCCACGGCACTCACTCTAGCCTGGGCAACAAAGTGAGACTCTGTCTCAAAAAAAAAAAAAAAGAAAAGAAATGAAAATTAAATGTTATGCCAAATCAATCTTTGTGCCTCCCCAACAGCCTAGATCTATTTTTATTAATAGTTACTTCAATAATATGCAAGGTCAGTTACAATTATTGTTAGATGAATGAAAAATATTTTGCCACTTAAGCTAAATTCTTAAGTCGACAGAATAGTTGGGGCCATCTATCTCTGAGCTC